AAAACTTACTTTTAATATAGAATATATATTTTTATTTTTAATGTTTTTTAATTATTAGCTACTGTTTCAATTAATTTGGAGAGTCTAATTATGAATGAGTGGAAAAAAAATATATTATAAACTGAATAAAAATAAAAATGGATCAATGTAATGCATACATTATTAGTGCTAAATGGATTCAAAAAATTTTATTTAAGTTAAAAAGTTTCATAAATTGTAATCCACATTTATCTATTTAAATTTATATAAAAATATAGTTGAGATATATTTAGAACTTGTTTAATATAACAGTTAAAATTCAACAAATAACGGATCATAGGTAATGAGTGATAGTTAGTAAATAGTAGATGACGAATAGTGAAAAGTAAGTAATAGATAGTAGATAATAAATTCAATAGATATAACTGTTTAATTATACAATAGTTAGTGGTTATTATTTAATATTAAATAACTAATAAGGATATGTTTAAAAATAATTAAGTATATTTTTTAAAAATATTTTTTATTTATATATTAAAATTATTAATTTATAAAAATATAATAAATAAATAAATAAAATTAATTAATTATAATAATGTAATTACACAATCATTTTTATTTTTAACAAATAAAAATTTATATTATTTTTAAATAAAAAATAATAATCAATTTGTCTAATTAGCAAATTTTGTTTAGGATAAATTAATGCAAAAAATAAAAAATATTATAATCACTTAATGTTATTAAAAGTAAAAAAATAAAATTGAAACTTATTAGATAAATATTAATTAAAAACTATGATAAAAAATTAATAAATTAAAAAAGATAAATTTATCAATAAAATTAAAAAATTTCAATTCGCTAGCGATTTGGTACAAAAAATTACCTAAACTATATTTTTTAATCCACTAGCAGTTTGAACCCTAACCACTATTCACTAATCCCATATCATTAAATAAAAATTTTTACCAAACATTTTGTTTATAACAATTTCAAAATATATAAATTTATTAAACACTTATACTTAATGGTTTAGATAAAACTATTAATTGTTACCTCAAAACTGTTATACCAAACGAGTTCTTAATATAACTTGAGAAAAAATATTGAATAGATCAAAAAATCCAATTATCACGTAAATAATAAATACATTGAAAATATATCAATTTAAATTTTATATTAGTTGATTATGATAAAATTAAATGTTTTAAAATCTCAAATCTTAGTATCA